AAACAACGTGCAGGATTTCACTTCTGAGTAATATTCTTTTGCTGGATGGATCCCAGGATCTTCCATGCTCCCTTGCTGTATTTACTGTTGTTCAAATGCCAAGGCCTTGAACATCACATTCATTGTCTACACAAAACCCTTCCATTTGCATGAACAATAGCCAGATAATTAGTTTAGCATATAGGGAAGAAATTACAGTGCAACTTTTGTCTGTCTCTCTTGGCCAAGTTGTTCAGGAATAGCTGTTTACCTGGAAGGAATTTTGCATGTTTTACCTTAAGCTCTTGTATGAACTTCAAAATGCAACACTCCAGGGAGTGTCCCAAATCAGCTGGGTAAGTATTTGTGTTTACTTAGCTCTGGGAACAACAAACACCTAATTTACTTACCCACCAGATAACTATGGTTTGCCTTTCTATTGTAGCTAACCAACAGAAAAGTTCAGTACTAATTTGGTATCTCTACATGGCTAGTTTGGTCTGTCAATTGGACCTTTTGGCCTCAAGGTCCTTTCAGGGGAGCTTGCAAAATAGCTGTGAGATTCACATCTCCAGAAACGTTCTTAAAAAAGTGTTTCAGATTGTTCAGTTCTTAAGGCTCATTGTTTGTTCTTTAAAGATGTACAGGACAGAACTGAATAAACACTGAGGAACCCTGGTGTGCTCCAGAGGCCAGTAAAACACCACAGGACCATGATCAGAGTAGACCTTGGTTAGCATTAATTTCCATTGTTAAATCATCTTATTTAAGGCAGATGTACCATAAGAGTTCCTGGGGCTGAGCTCTTATGAAACACTTTATAACAATGTCAGGCAGGGAGTTGTTAACTTTCCTTGGGGCCAAATTAGAGACTTGCTGTACTCTGCATAATGCAGAAAAGAAGCAACAGAACTGAAATGTACTTCATTTGTGATAGAGAGGTGCCAAGGATTTCTTAGCACATGGTCTTGCTGGCTGGCCGTGAGAAACAGTTATCCAAAACTGCAAAGAGGAATCCTGCAGCATCACACCATCTGAATTTTAAGGTTGGCAAACTTGTGCAATTAGCATGGCAGTAAATTGGGAAACAGGCAGTCATGTATCTCACCTGCAGGCACAGTCCTAGTTCATCATACAGAATTTCAGCCTAAGATTGCAAAAAAAGTTCTGAACTTCTTTCTTGATCTAATGCACGAATATTACATACAAATGCAAAAGCATATTAAATTCAGCATGTCCAACATTGACATGTAGGTGGCAAACGTATAAAAATTTCTAAGTAGGAATCTGAATTAAACATCAAACTCTTTTTATAGTAGAATATGAAGTCAGGATGCAACAAACTTTGTGCAAGGGAAAGGTTTATGTGCCAGAGCTCCTCTTAGTTGCGTGGGTAGCCAAAAAAACTTCCAAACATTTTAACTCTTAACTGGGACTTGCTTCTATCTTGGGATAACAGATAGTAGGCTCACTTGTCTGCAGTGCAGCTCTGCTGGGTGCAGGCAGCACACACCAGGGAGATCTGTAGGGAAGGGAACAGAGTGTGGGGGACAGACACATGCTGTGTCAGAGAAAGGTGGAGAGAGGGGCTGAGAAACAAGCAAGAGAGTTCTTGGAATAACAAATTCCTAGCATTGTAGTTCATTAAGCTTTGTTTCCATGGGCTGATTTATTAGAAAGCATTGATTTCATTTAAAAAGCATTGATCCAGATTACTGATAGTACCAAGTATCTGGGCAATGTAGCTAGGGAAGTCAGGCATATGCCTGCACAGCACTGGGATTGTTCATTTGGCTGTGGTGTCATCATGTCTTTAGAAGTCACCCTGGGTCTGCATCCAGCAATCTCTCACTTGTTCTGTAAGTGTTTGCCTTATCAAGATTCACAGATTTCCAGGATGTACTAATGGCAGATAAATTACCAGCTCCTCTGTGACCTTTCAGGTGGCTTGAATTTGGATTTGTCCCAGTAATACTTCCCACTGCATTTCTGTGTTCTGTGGCTCAATCTATGTGAATTGGGATGATGTCTCTTCTGTCTGTTATCAGTGTTTACAGGATCTGGGGGTGGAGGGAATGGTAGGGCTGCAGCAAGGTTCATGATCACTATAGATCCAGAAATAAGTCATGACATCTTAAAAATATCTGATCTGGTATTACTACATTTTTTTTTTTAGAAGCAGCCTATAATGGAGAATAATAGCAATGTGTTTCCAGCCAACGTGAAATTCTGTTAATGACAACTCCATTCCCTAAGTTCTATGGCATTTGCTTTCTTTCTTAACTATGTTTTATCTGGAAGTGTTTGATCTTGAGGAATCTGTATAGCAAAAAGCAGAAGAGATCTTAGAGTTTCTGAAATGCTGAATGACAAAACAAACCATTTGCAGTGGCAATGCTGGCAACAATTTCACTGGAAAATCTTGTTCAACAGGGACTCTGAAACCTTTACTCACGTATGTAGCCCAGACAAGTGTACATTTGAAGAAACAGCTGTTTGCAAAATTTACTACTTACCTGTTTAAAAACAAAACAACCCCAAACCCACAAGGCAAGCAGACCAAAAAAACCCCCAAACTGGAAAACCCAAACAGACCTAACCCAACCCCCTTTCTCTTAGGAGTGGCAGGAGGAGAATAGCTCAAGTACTCAGATTTCTTGAAATTATAGGAATGAAGCAGGAAATGAGTGGTCATAGTTCCAGACTATACTGTTTTGTACCAATGTGACACTTTGTTTTTCATATCAGTGTGGTCAAGATACACACTGTGAATGAATAGGTGTGAATCAGATAATTTCATCACCTCATATTGGAAGATTTTGTTGTTGTGCTACACTTTCTTTTGATAGATTAAGGCAATTAGGGTTTAGCCACTGAAGTCACTCCCATATTTCAGAAGAAACTAGGTGTTCTGTATATGCTAAATGAACCTTTAAAACATAGTGTAGGATTCATTTGTCAAACATCTTTGAGCAAAATAAGCAAATGCTTTTCTCTTAATCCCCAATGAAGTTTACAAATTAAAACCAAACTCTTGCATTAATGTACCAGCTAAGTACATATGAAGGAAGTTGGATTAACAGAGCTGACACACACATACAAATTTCCAATTAGGTTGTAATACGAAGTGTTCCTAGGAAGATGTGCTTTAAATGATCGACACTCTCACTCCTGTGTTTCAAGTGTACTTTGAAAGCATATACAGGAATTGAGTGTGTCTGCAACCAATCCAAGCAAGTGCTAAGAGTAGTGTTTGAACTAAAAAACACTTGAAATAAGTACACTAAAGATGCTACTTGACATGCAGGAAGGCTGGGTGGACAGTTTCTACACATGAAGTGCTGTAAGGAGACAAATCATGGAAGATGATGTGTGTCCATAGAGGAATTTATTTAATTTCTCTTTTATCTGAAAGGATCACCTATTTAATTAGGCTTAACTGTGCCACATGGAACAAGAATTGCTATCAGGTGTTTCAGAATTATGGCCAAGGAAATACTTGTGCTGCACCATTAACCTACTTGGACAGGTTAAATCAAAAGTATTTTTTAAAGATTGATCCTCTCAGCCATGTCTAATAAGGAAACTCAAGGTTGCAGAACCTGTTGAGCTCTTTTTGCATCTAACTGTGCAGGTCAAATCTGAAAACAATGCAAATGGATACATTTGAAAAAGGGTGTCATAAATGAAATTTTTCTTTACAGGAAGGTCACAGTAGTAATTTTCAGCTGTTGGTAGCATTCTCTTCAAATACAGCAAAAAAATGGATATTGTGCAATTCATGTATAGGTAAGGAAATTCTGGAGGGGAATTTAAGCCAACCAGTTTAGGGATTTGTTGGTGATTTTGTGACCTAAAGCAACTTCTTGTGAAGTCCTGAAATTATTCTATCGTAAATGACAGTGCTTCTTAGCACTTTATTTTCTGTATTTTACATTAACTAAATTGTCGAGAGATCCTGGTTGCCTTTTCTCATGGGAGCTGTTAAATACATAAAACTGACTCTGCTTTCTGTTTGTAGTCTGCACTATTTATCCAGAAATTATAGTCTTGGTTCTCAAATTTTAATTCACAGTATATCTGTGGCAGCATCAATATTTATCAGAGAGTTGGTAGGCAAAAAAATTAAACCCACAGTGTTCTTCAGTGCATTTTGTACCATCTAGGTCTGCTGGTGTTCCTGCAGCAGGCAATACACAGCAGCTCTTTTTTTTTGTGTAAGGTATTGCCTTAGAAAAGGTGATTAAAAGGATGTTTATCAGAACCTACATGAAGTTAATGAGCTGGACTAATAACATTAATCTTTTCCCCTTTCATGTCAGGTAAATCTGAAGTTGCACTACTGAGATAGGTGAGTTTTGCTGCCTGAAAACTTCTGTTAATTACGGTTTATTCACTCTAAGATTCTTAGACAGGAAAGAAAAATCAATCCTTAACATTTCCCCCTGTAAATACTTGCAATTCTGCTTATTTCATACACACTGAGGTAGAGATATATCTTTGGCTTGCGAAGGGATCAAACCAGGATCTGAACTGAAGTACTTCATATTCAGAGTTCTTAATGTATTTTCTTTTTAGCTTGCTGAGTTGTACTCAAAACACCTAGAAACCTTTATAGTCTGAGTATGTTACTGGCTGCCAATGTAAAAAGATTGTATTCACAGGATTCTGTTATAACACAATGAATCAAAGGCAGAGTATGTATATAGAGCTCAAATAGCATTTCAATCATGGCAACTTTATGTACTGTGTCTGTTAAAGACAGAACAAACTGTCAACATGAATTCTAAACCTGAGCTGAAAAACTGGTACATGAATAAACTTCTGTTTGTGGATGGAGCTTGAAAAGGCAGTTAGTTATATAAACTTGGCAAATCTATTGTATTATAGCCAATGTACAGATTAAACCAAAGATATTTACCTTCTTCTTTGATCTCTCTGACTTCTTGGAAATGTTCTTTACTTTTGTATGGAGATGATATAAGACCTTGGGAGGAAAAAAAGGAACAATATATTGAATGGAAAATGGAAACTTTAGTTAGTATTAGAACTTCTCATAAAAGCACAAAAAAAATCAAATAATCATTTTAGTATGACTTCAAAGATTAATTTGATGCTTTGAGACTTTTAATTCTAAACTCTCCACAGTCCTTTCTCTTTCAAGAAACAAGGTTTGGAAAGAGCATTAAAACTGCTATGCTTCCACTCGTTCAGTGTGTATTAAGAGCTCAGCTGGTACAACGTAGAAATCCACAGGACTGTTTCCATGGATCTGGAATTTTAGATTGTGCCTCAGACTATCTACGTTTATTCCCTAGGCTGATCCTATCCACAGGCAGAGAGCAGGCTGCTAGTTTTGTACCCTGGTGTGACTGTCCTGCTGCTCCTGAACTCAGTGCTAACATCTGCTGCATTGGAGTGGGCTCATCTTTCCGAGGGAGAGTCATAAGGAATGTTAGAGCACTGTAGGGAATTCTCAATTAACAACATCTAGATCTAGCTTTGGAAACCTGTTTACAGCACAGCCAGAACCTGGAAATGTTTATACTTTGGCCTTTGGAGCTAACAGACTAAATTTTCTAAAGCAATTAATGAACAAAAAGGTGCCTTTATTAAATGCAGCTTCCCTTCCAGTTGCTGCTGTGCTCACCTAGAGCAGTGAGGGGACAAACAGCTGGAGCTACAGTGGTGGGAGTTAGGAGCTCTAGTGGCTTTTTTCTCTTGTGACAAGCAAAGCCTTAGGTTTAGAGATTTTTAGCTTAAATCTAAGTACATCGTCCTGTCCTTAACTGAAGATAGCAAAGCAGATTAATACTGAAAGTAATGTACTTTCTGATTAAACAGATTTGAACTTAAATTCCAGGTAAACTTTTTTTCCCCCCAAGAGGTTACACCTGCAACTGACTAGTGACAAGGAAGTCCAGTCCCTGGCAGACTTGTGGCACTCCACAGTAGGGAGCTAATTAACTCAAAATTCACAGAAAACTCCTCCTGCATGCCAACACAGCTCACAGACTTCCCAACAGTCTTAAACATGCTAAAGATCAGTAAGGGAAAAACAAAACTTAGAGCAGCAGCAATACATAAAAAGAAAGGAAAAGATTTCTCACTGAATAAAACTCTGAACCTAAGATCTCTTTTTGTAAGCCTTTGCAAGTCACTGTGTCTAAGCTTTGTTCCCAACTTAAAGAAAAAAAAAGAAGAGAGAGAGAAATCAGGGTGATGTCTTTTTCTAATACTGTTTCTCTATACTCTCTGCACAGTTTATCCACCCATGGACTTTTCCTCTTGCCATGGACAAACATTTGTGATTTAGAAAGAACAAAATAAAAAATAGAAGAACAGCAAGAGTCTTTAAGAGGTTTGGGTGTCAGGCTGGGTGTCATTTTAGTAGCTGTAATATTTTTTGTGAGCTGGTGTAATTCCATTCTCTGTTTTCCTTCCCTCCCCTCACCTCAGATTCCATACCAAGAAAGAATATGGAAAGGGTTGGATCTATTATTTTGCTGGGTATCTTGAGTGTACACATAAAGCCACCAAGATTCTGGGATCTTTCCCTCTATTTAAACATCATTCCCATCCCTCACACCCACCTTGGCATAGCAGCAGGTGATGAGCACCAGGGGCAGGAGGTATCCCACCAGCAGGATGGTAATCTTGTACATCTGCTTGGCCGTTGAACCATGTGCCCAGTGCTCCCAGCAGAAAGAGCTGTTGGGTGCTTGCTGATGACCACTCATGAGGGCCTGGTGCTGGGCCACAGGGATGGCAATGAGTAGGGACAGCAGCCAAATGACACCCACGCCGAGGGCAGCGTTGCGCTTGCTGCGGATGCAGAGCGAACGTTTGGCGTGGACCACTGCGATGTATCTGTCCACAGACATAGCCACCAGGGTGAAGATGCTGACCAGCATCGTTGCCATGGCCAAGTAGTGAACCCACTTGCAAAAGAAAGCACCAAAGATCCACTCTGGCAGGGAGTAGATAGTGGCCTGGAAGGGGACACAGAAGAGCAGAAAGGAGAAGTCTGCAATGCTTAAGTTCAGGATGAAGATGTTGGTAGCACTGCGTGATGGGCGACCCCCAGGCCGGAGACGCCCCAGAACAACCAACACTAATGTGTTCCCCACCATTCCCAGAAGAAAAATCAAGCCAAAAAGCACTGGTACAATCACCACCTCGGGGCCTCCCCTGGTTGCTCCTGCCCAGCATGTTGGGACCCCTGTTTGGTTGGTCTCAAGGCTGCACTTGCTGGTGTTGGCTCCAAGGGAAAGCACCAAATTGCCTTCCTGCTCCTCCATGACCAGGCAGCTTGGGGAGCAGGCTCTGCAGCCCTGACTGCTGCCAGGCAGATCTCTGTTTGTTAGGGGTGGCCAGAGGTGAATGCTTTTCCAATGCTCTGGGTCTTTCCTTTGGGAAGCAATTTTCTTCAGATGATTCTTCCAAGTGGCTGGTGCAGATTATTCCAGGGACTGGCATAAAAAAAAGGGTTGAGGAATTTGTGTCATCCAGGAGGTAAATTGCAGTTTTGGTAGCTGGTGCTGGAAAAGCTCATGTGGCAGAGAAGAAGTCCGTGCCAGGAGGGCTGAGGATGAGGCAGCCCGGAGAGCTTGGAGCAGCAGCAGCTCAGCTCCCCCAGGCCCCTCCTCTGCTGCTTCCCTCCCACTCCCCCTGGGGCTGGGGCTGCCTTACCTGTGCCCAGCGCCGTGCGGAGCTTCGGCAGCCACAGCAAATGTTATCTGTGCCCTGAGCCCTCCAGAAAATAACCCCTGACCAGCTTTGTTCCCCTGCATCTCTGCCCATGAGCGCGAAGGGCAGAACAAAAGTTCTCACCCAAAGGGATGGATAAGCAGCTGCTGCTGAGCGATAGTGTGTGCAGTTCTGTGAGGAGCAGCATTGGAATCGGCTGCACGAAGAGGTAAAAGGCTACAATATGTTTTGTTTCTTTGCTTCGTAGTCTTTAATGTTCTCCCGTTAGCAATATGAATAGCTTTGTTTTCAACACAGAAACCTGGGAGAGCTTTAGATTCAACAGCTGGATCCTGACACTTCTGGGATATCTGCCCAAATTCCTCAGTGCCTGAATATTCATGGTCCTTGTTGATCCAGCTGTGAAGAAGTTTTGGGTTCAGTCCAGTAGTGCCAACAGCATCTGCACTAGAAAAAGAAATGTTCAGTCTTGGTAGCTGTGAGCAGCTGTAATTCCCTGCCAGCGAACAGAGAAATGGATTCAAAACCTCCAATTTTATGAAAGATTAATGGCTCAGCTATTGTGGGTTTTATGCTTCCTTACAGAAAGAGTAGATATATATTTTAGAAGGTAGTAAGTAACTCAATGGTTTGTTTCCTCATATTTATTAAGGGATTCTGTGAACTTTGCAGGCAGTGAGGAGGGACTAAGTTTAGGCAAACAGCGATTTACAGATGCAGGACAGCAGCCTGCAGGGGAATACTCGTCTCTGTTTCCAGGGGTTACAACCCTAGGCACCTGGTCAGAGTGGGCCACTACCCTGGGGATGGGAGGGATAGACTGGAGCCCCTTAATTTTTGAAGCAAAGTTCAGTAAGTGAAATTTGCACTGTCCTGTGACTTGTTCCTAAGCTCTTGCTGAGAGGTGATAGTGCTGCCTTCCTTTGCTTGCTCTGGGTATACCTTTGTTTAAAAACTGTTCTGAAGCTAAACTCTGTATTTCCCCCCATAGCTTTGAGGCTAGTTATGAGGTTGAGGTGAGAAGTGGCCAAGGAGGGAAAAACATCTAAGTTGCAATGCAAAAAAATTATCTCCCCCTGTCGTGTGCCAGTGAGCAGATCACTGGATGCTGCCTGCAGCTCTCTCGGTCTTCTATGGCCAGGCTGCCTTGCATGTCGTGGCACAGCACCTCCTTTTCCCAAACTTTTTGCCTGCTGGGATCTCTGCTGGGACCGTGCCTGCCCTGGGGCTGTGCTGCAGTCTGAGTGCCATCTACTGGCATTTGGCCTCCTTCAGGCAGCTCCTGCTGCAGCCCTTGGCCTTTCTTTCCTTCAAACATTCAGTCACTTCTGTAACTAACTCTATCTACTGTTGTTTTCCTCTCATCCTTATGCATGTACATATCCTTAAACTTAAATATGTTTGCTTTTCTTTTTGTGATAATACGTGACCACTATAAGGTTCCTTCTTGTAATACTATTCATGTCACTACATGTAACATTTTGGAGAAGGCTATTGAAAGTGATTTCCATGGCTCTCTCTGTATTTTAGATGTTTGGAGGTTTTGTGTTTTTTTCCCCCCTTTTCTTTAGTGTGCAGTCATGCCAGAAAAAATTATTTAAGAAGCACTTGTAGCAATCACAGCAAGGAGAGCATGGATGTTTGCCTTTTAGTGGGTTTGGGCAAAATAATGAAAACTGGAATATGTGTGATTTCTAGTGCAGGGGATCTGAGCCAACACATGCAGGAATTTGAGAACTGCTGTGTGTGTCACCTGCAGAACAAACACAGCTTTACAGATCTAAAAGGTTGTGGGGCACTCTTAGCAGAAAATGGGCAGAGCACAGCACAATTCTGGCAGTGAGGAGAGACAGATCATAGGATTGTTTAGATTTGTAAAATAAATCTTTAAAAATTGCCTAATTTCTTACAGAAGGGACATTACCAGGTTTCTTCTCCATCCTCAGAATTCTATTCAATTTTTTTAAAAAACTGGACTGCTCCAAAATATTTTTTTTTAAAACTGGACTGCTCCAAAATATTTTTTTCAGATTCCTGTGAGAGCCTTATAACTGGGGGAGTGGGAGGGAAGGTGAATATTCTGGATGGGAAGTGGCAGTCACCTACTGAATTAGACATCCAGTAAATTAGGTGCAAGAACTCATTTTCACTAGGGAGCTAAGATGCTGCAAATCTGACTTCAAATGGAGGCTGGCTGGTGTGGGAGTATTCCTGGCTGGTCTTACCTGGGAGGAAATAATTTCTGGTTTTAGCTTTCTAATTTCCAGCTTTCCAATAAGCTGAAAACTTATCCTGAAAATGTGCTTACCCTGTGTAAGGAATTAAAGAATATGGTTGCCAGCCTCAAACACTGTTAAGGTTACGAAAGGGACTCGCCCTAAGATAAGATACACTAGCCACCAGGGCATGAACTTGAGATAAGCACAAAGGAGATGAGTTTGAGCCAATTCCAGGCCTGGCAGAGGTGACATCTGGTTTGCACATCCTGATTAATGTATCTGGACAAAAAAATTCCCACTGTGGCAAACTGTATACACATACCACTGGTCAAACAAAGATCACCCCAAATTATCAGACAGGTGTTATCTGCGACCACCAAACGCCCACCCCGAGGGAACATGCACACCAGGCATGCCCATCCTCCCTCCACAGGCAAATGCAGGCACACCCATCCTCATTTGGTATGTAAATTAGGACTACACCTTCATGAATACCTGGAATTTGGACTGTATAAAGGCAGTACTCCCAGACAAACAGCCTAGAGCCACCACCACCACCAGAAAAACTACCCAGGACCCCCAGCAGGGAGAAGCCCAGGGTGAGGAAGGACCAACACAACATTGCTGGATCCACAGGTGTTGACTACCCCTCTCTGTCTCTCTCTCTTCCCCCGCTCCTTTCTATTTCTTTCTATCTCTCTGCTTCACATTTATTGTTAAATAAAAGCCATATTATTATATGGTTAATGCATCATTGACTTTGGCATATGGTTTTGTTTGCACCTTAACTTGGGCAGAGGCATCTCTCACTAATTGCATCATAACACCATGGCATTCAAAAGTACCAAGAAGGTAAAGATTCCTTCTTCTGTTTCCCTCTTTGTACCACTTCTTAACTGCTTTAAATAATGTGTTTTCATCGGGGAGAAATTCCCTGCCCTCGAGAATTCTCAGCCCAAATTCAGCCAGAAGGGAACTGGCCATGCCAAGACTAAGCACTTGCCATAAGACCTATTCATTAGTCCAACTAGGAGAAGGTCAAGTCACTTGACTCAGTACAGGAGCACAAATAGTAAGTGAACCTGTGATGTCTGATTTACTGGGAACATCCTGTTCTGTGTGTTACTTTAAAATTTATGGTGTTTCACTGTAAACCAGAAACAATGCACTGTGGAGAGAGATGCATGAAATATTTCAGCTCTACAAATTCTGCTGTTCTTTGGAAACTCTATTGCTTCTTAGATCAATGCAACAAACATGTAAGCACGAGTGAGAATATGTAGGAAAAGGAAACTGAATATTCTCGGCAACAAACATTTAAGCATGAGTGAGAAGATGTAGGAAAAGGAAACTGAATATTCTCTGTGATAGGGAAAAAAAAGGTAAAAGTCTGACAGACATCACCTAGATCAAGACTGAGCTGGTAGCCAGATGCTGTTGCCTTTGCCTGAGTTGATGTGTGCTACATAAAAGCTTTGGACTCATATGCTGAGTCCGTGCCTAAACAGCCATCAGAGGTGTCTTGTTGAAAGAGGACAGAACTGAACTCCTATGGATAATTTTTCAATCCTACTGTAAGGAGAAGAGAGGGAGAATGTCAGCCCTAGGAATAAGGATAGGGAGGAAAAAACCAAAACATTAGATGGTAGTATTTAAATGGTAACATTTTGAGCTCGTGTAGGTACAAAGTAATTTGTCCATTTTCTGATTGCTAATGGGTGCTTCAGCTCCTAATTGCACTGACTACCAGGTATGTTGTAAAGCACTCTTACTGTTTTGATTGTCATGGTTCAGCTTTTTGATACCTGTGCATTAGCTCTCTAAGCCTCTTGACTTTGAATAGAAGGAGGGCACTCAAGCATAACAGCAAGCAAGAGCCTTACTGTCACACTGTTCTCTCTCCAAAGAATGTGGGTTACATCTCAGTTCAGATCCGTTTCAAGAAAAACAAACAGACATCCTGCACAAAAGTCCAGTTTGTGGCTGTGAGTTCTGCAGCTGTCTTGGTACACTGTGCTCTTTAGAAGGCTGACATGGGCTGAAAAGCCCTTCAGGCTGAGTAATGAGCTACCTAAATGCAACTATGATGAAACAAGTAATGGTAGGTCTGAAATCTCTGCACATGGAAAGAAGTAATGGTAGGTCTGAAATCTCTGCATTTGGCTTGTACAAACCCTCTCCAGTTATGATCCCAACCTGGTTATGCCCAAGAGAAGGTGCAGTGTCCATTCCTCTTGAAGTATGACCCCAAGAGGGGCAGGAAGTCCTGCTGCCTGCTCTGCATACTTAAAGTATGACCCCAAGAGGCGCAGGAAGTCCTGCTGCCTGCTCTGCATATTTTGGCCCCAAAAAAGAGCCCAGATTCAATTCCTTTCCAACA